TCAGAGCCTGGGTACTGTCCCTGAGCCTTTTTGTGCTCAAGGCTAGCTCTCTACCACTTGAGCCACAGTGCCACTTCTGGCTTTTTCTGAGTAGTTTATTGGAGATAAGGGTCTCACAGGGACTGTTCTGCCTGGGTTGGCTTACAACTTCAATCCTCAGATCTCAGCCTCCTGAGTAGCTGGGATTACAGGCATGAACCATTGGCACCTGGCTAATATATCAAAATCCTGATGCCATCACTAAAAATCTTTTTGGGAAGCAACTTCCAAATTTGTTTACCAAAATTGGAGACACGTCGAATGGCAGATGTGTCCAAGTCATCTCCCCCAAAGTACTTCTCTAGCCGATCTATAGAAACACTGGCCTGGAGAAGAAAACAAAGTATCTCAAGAACAAAAGAAAAATCCAGAAACAAACACGAATGGGGAAAGGATTTTTGTCTCTGTCATCATTCATGGTTTGCCATTGCCACAGTTGAAATTCCAGACCCCTACCAGACTCAAACACACAGCCCTGAAGCCAACCTAGCTGGCATAGAAGTAAATTAAGACACCATTTCAGGCCTTCACAAAACTCAACAAGTTCAACTCTACTGATATTTCTCTTTAGTTTTGGGCTCTATTTCCACAAGCCACGCCATGACTTTTTATAAGACAAACTCCCAACTTTTACCTACTTCTAGTAACTGAGCTCTTTTGTATTCTTATTAGATGGACTCCATGCCTTGAAGACATATCCAGTGTTCTAACTGGGCTATGACTGGGATACTACAGGAATTGGCCAAAGCTTAAGCTACAGTTTACATAAGTGTTGCCAGAATACCCTCTGCCCCTAGAACATGAGAACCTAAGAGGTTTCTAAGGAGCTTCTAAAGGATGGTTTTCACCGGCTTTCCCATCTCCCAGTGAAGCTGTCTTCAGATGGTTTCTTGTAGCCAGCCAGTCTCTGATGATGTATTAGGGCTTTCCACCTGTCCCTTCCCTAGACTGTAAAACCATTAGCTGTGCCATGGATCAGTTCCTCAGAGACAGAGCGCTCTGATACCTGGGCTGTTCCATCACCATACTCCTTTCGGTTCAAGAATGTAGGGCACTGTCACCTTTTCTGACCTTGCTTTTACTATCTATGTGACAAATTATTTAAAAAGAGCATATTGTTTCTTCTTCCCTCCCTCCCTCCTTTTCTTGCCTGCTTTCTTTTTCTTTTCTTTTCTTTCTCTTTATTTCCTTCCTTCCTTCCTTTCTTTCCTTCCTTCCTTCCTTTCTTTCCCTTCCTTCCTTCCTTCCTTCCTTTCTTTCCTTCCTTCCTTTCTTTCTTCCTTTCTTTCTTCCGTCCTTCCTTTCTTTCTTTCCTTTCTTTCTTTCTTTTCTTTCCTTTCTTCCTTCCTTCCTTCCTTTCTTTCTTTCCTATCTTTCTTTCTTTCTTTCCTATCTTTCTTTCTTTCTTTCGTTCCTTCTGCTGGTCCTGGGCTTCAACTCACAGCCTGGGCACTGTCGCTGAGCTTTTGTGCTCAAGGCAAATGTGCTACCAATTTGAGCCACAGTACCATTTTAGTTTTTTTTCATAATTAATTGGAGGTAAGACCCTCCTGGGTTTGTCTGCCTGGCTGGCTTTGAACCATGATCCTCAGACCTCAGCCTCCTGAGTAGTTAGGAATACAGGCATAAGCCACTGGCTCTCAACAACATCTTCCTTCCTTCCTTCCTTCCTTCCTTCCTTCCTTCCTTCCTTCCTTATTTCCTGCCTGCCTGCCTGCCTTCCTTCCTTCCTGCCTTCCTTCCTCTTTTTCTTTATTCTCTCTTTCTCTTTCTTTCTTGCTTGCTTATCAGTTGTGGGGCTTGAACTAAGGTCAGTTGTGGGACTTGAACTAAGGGCCTGGGAGCTGTCCCTGAGTTTCTTTTGCTCAAGGATATCACTCTACCACTGGAGTCACAGCATCACTTTTGGCTTTTTCTGTTTATATGGTACTGAGGAATCAAACCCATGGCTTTATCCATGCTACTCAAGCACTCTACCACTAAGCCACATTCCCAGCCCTCCCTGAGCTCTTTTTTGCTCAAGGCTAGCACTCTACTGCTTTGAGCCACAGCTCCACTTCTGGTATTTAGTTAATTGGAGATAAAAGTTTCTTGAGGCCTTTTTTGCTTTTTTGCCTTTTTTGGTTTCGAATCATGATCCTCACTCTCAGCCTCCTGATTAGCTATGATTTTTGGTGTGAGCCACTGGTGCCTGGCAATATATGGTTTCTTTATTGACCAAAGGAGTGAACCTTCCTATGGCTAGAGCTGTCTCAATCTAGCCATCTCTAGAATAAATGCAGGTTACCCTTCCCCTCTCTGCGACCCTCCACCACATCATTCTGGCCTTTCACCAGTCTGTCCTGTTTTGTGAACTTCTCCTGAGGTCTGCTCTATGGTTTGTCTCAGTGACTGTGCTCAGTTTGCAGAACCCAGACATTTCCTCTGGTCCATCCAAGGCTTTCTGAGCTCACTTTCTGACAGCTTAAGGTTCCCAAGTTTACTGCCACATGGGTTTATGCAAAAAGAGTGTTCTTTTCTTCCCCTTGTTTAATATTTGCCTAGTATTATAATCAACACTTTGAGAGTCTTAAAAAACTGTGGGAGAAAATGAGCTCAGGAAAGGGCTTAGAAATGTTCTCAACACAAGAACTAATTCTAACCATCTCATTAAATGCTTTTACAAAATTGGACCCCTGTGAGGTAGATGAAGTTTGCAAAATTATTTTCAGTTTATAGTCAGATAAACTGGGCTCAAAGAGCTTGTGGTGTTACTAAGATCAAACCATTGGTCTCCAGAGACCCAACAGAACTCTCTCATCAAAAGTTCACTAGCAAAAGTGAGACATGGTATATAATAAGGCAGTCATTCTGGACTGAGGCTTTTAGCCAGAGCTAAGAAGTAGGCAATGGAGTTCCCATTTACCTGGAGCATGGACGAGATCAACATGGGAAGCATAGTCAGGGGAAAGCGCAGGATATTAAAAAGGGTGATGGAGGTGAAGGCCTTTTCTGCATCCAAAATATTGTTGCTATCCACCAGAACGTAAACAGAGAATGTGATCACACACACCTGCAAAGAGCAAGGTCATGAGCAATTTATTACCAAAAGGATCCACATAGCCTTCGGCTAAGTTTTAGGAACATTAAGTACCAGAGTTTGGAGGAACAATCGAAATTTTCCAACCTCCTCATGTGGCTGATGCTCAAGGTGACAAAGTCAATGAATGGTTTGCTAGAACCGGAGTTCAGGTCTTCTGGCTCCTTCTACTACAGATCAACCAAAGAAGTTCTACCATGCAAATGGCAGATACTACATTCTAGGAGACCATATTCATTCTGAACATCCTGAAAGCTAGTTCTTGGCTACTGGTCTACTAAACTGTATATGAGGGTAGAACTCGAGTTGGGATCACAAACTTGGGGTCTGAAGAGTCTGAAGAGTGGGGATAGGTTACCTGGATATTCAGATCAGGCCTACATAAATTCCTTAAATAAATACAATAAATATGGAAGCTGGCCAAAATTCAAAAACAACACAGTGCACTGACTGCTCTGCTACTCACCAGGACTGGAGCTAATTGTAAGAGGAATATCATTATACTCTGTAGCTGACCAAAGGCCAGCAGGTTTTTGAGCTCTTTCTTCCGAATGTTGGAAACCTGGTCTTTAAATGAAGGTTCCCAAGCAAAGTATTTCAGGATCTAAAAGATTAGAAAAGAGCACATCTCATATTGTTGCTCAGAGAGCATCCCAGGCACACCCATTCCACCCATGTTTTAAGGATATGTTTTCTAGAATGTGGGGGATGGTAGTGGATACCCAGGCTATCAGGAATGGTGACTGGTACCCTGTATCTGTTTACAAACTGCTATATATGAAACATTCTACATACATTGTCTTAATATTTATAGTAAATTGTCCTGGTTGACTAGCCAAGAGGCATTACCAGGATAGTGGGCTGTATGTATGAAAATCTGGAAAGTTCTGGGCAAACCAATATGAGTCTCTCTACTTGCATAAAGTTATTGTCTCTATTTTAAAAAATGAAGAAATACATTGAGAGAAGCTAAGTAACTTGCTCCAACTCACCAGACTAGCAAGTGGCTGAAATTCAAAACCAGAACTTTCCTTTAATTTTTCCACATTAAGAAAAAGAGATAGTTGGGTGCTGGTGGCTCACACTGTAATCGTAGGTACTCAGGAGGCTGAGATCTGAGAATCACAGTTTGAAGCCAGCTGGGGTAGGAAAGCCTGAGACTCTAACTCCAATTAACCACCAGAAAACCAGAAGTGGTGCTGAGATTCAAAGTGGTAGAGTGTTACCCTTGAGCAAAAGTCTCAGGGACAGCTCCCAGGCCTTGAGTTCAAGTCCCACAACTGACCAAAAGAAAGAAAATGAGTATCCAGAGGTGTGAGTTGAGAAATGTCAGGAAGGTAAAAAGGATCTCTGTTTTACTTTCAAGAAACTTACTGAAATTTTAAAAATCCACTCATTAATTTTAAAGTAAAGAACTTACTGGTCATTTTTTTTCTAAGTCCTACTCCTGGGGCTTGAATTCAGGGCCTGGGCACTATCCCTGAGCTTTTTTTGCTCAAAGGTAGCACTCCACTACTTGAGCCACAGCTTTATTTCTAGCTTTTTCTTCTTTTTTAATGGTTAATTGGAGATAAGAATCTCACAGACTTTTCTGCTTGGTCTGTCTTAGAACCACAATTCTCAGATCTCAGCCTCCTGAGTAGCTAGGATTATAGTCATGAGCCATCACTGCCCAGTTTGGTCATCTTTTAAAGTATCATCATCATCATTATTTGAAGTTTTTTTTTGTTGTTGTTGTTGTTTTGGCAGTATTGGACTTTAAACACAGGGCTTCTCATTTTTTTTTTTTGGCAGTACTGGAGTTTGAATACAAGGCCTCACACTTGTTAGGCAAGCATTCTATGATTTGAGCCATATCCCTAGCTTGAAATTCAAGGATGTTTTATTTTAAAATCTGGGAAGGGGTTGGGAAGGTGGCTCAGTGCTAGAGTGCTTGCCTTGCATTCATGAGGCCCTGGGTTCCATTCCTCAGCATCACATAAGCAGAAAAAACCAGAAGTGGTGCTGTGGCTCAAGTGGTAGAGCGCTAGCCTTGAGCTGAAGAGCTGAGGGACAGTGCCCAGGCCCAGAGTTCAAGCCCAAGACCAACAAAAACAAACAAACAAAAAAATAAAATAAAACCTGGGAAGTAGCAGGAAAGAGACTTGCCTAGAAGAAGGCATGCAGGATAAAGAGGAACATAATTTGCCTTTCCTCTACAAACTTCACTTTTGTAAACTAACTACAGAATTCTTTTTAGAAATATAGTTAATCAATATGATTTTATTAAAAAAAACCATCTAATCTATATAATCAATACAGAGGAGTAACTGCATTGAAATATTAAAAATTCCAGCCTTTTGGAACATCTAATGAAAAAATATAACTAGGCAGTGATCATAAAATTCATACAACACTGGTTTTTGACCTTGACTGCATGTTAGAATTATATAGAAACTTAAAAAAATGGATACCTAGACCCTACACTCAGAAGGTCATTCAAAATGTATTTTTTCCATGTTTACATCTTTTATTCTCAGCTTTCCCCTTAGAGCCGCTCAGAGTACAGCCTCAATCCCATAGTTTTACAAATGTCAGAGTGACTGCCATGTATTGGTAGAGTCATAAAGTACTGTTCTAGCTGTACGACTAGTCCAGGCTGACAATACTTAGACTCACTGAAAGTCATTATTGTTGTTTGAAAACACTAGGCCCTTCTTTAAAGTAACCTCCTCCCCAAAATAAAAAAAGTCTGACCCTAATGAAGCCTCCAGATCTAACCACCATTTTACAGGATGTACAGGAAACAAGACAAATAATTTTTCTTTCAATATGATAGGGGTTGTAGATTAAAAACAATATCCACTAAATGCTATGTGTGGAAATTTTTTACATCATTTTTAAAATTAACCATTTTAAAAGAAAAACTTGGTGAGATCATAGATTGGTTGTTAATATTTTAGGTGTGAAAATGGTATTGTAGTTATGTTAGAAAGGAAATCTTTCTGGGGCTGGGAAGGTGGCTCAGTGGTAGAGCGCTTGCCTTGCATGCCTGAGGCCCTGGGTTCGATTCCTCAGCACCACATAAGCAAAATGAAAAAAAGCCGGAAGTGGCGCTGTGGCTCAAGTGGTAGAGCGCTAGCCTTGAGCTGAGGGACAGCGCCCAGGCCCAGAGTTCAAGCCCCACAAGCGGACCCAAAAAAAAAAAAAAAAAGAAAGGAAATCTTTCTTTTAGATACACATACAAACACTTATGAATGAAATGGTAAGATATCTGAGATTTGCTTTAAAACAGTCTGTAGCTATGAAGTGAGCATATAGATGAAACTAGTTAGGCTAATAATATCTAGGACAGGGTAATACATTCATTATAGGACCGTCCTTACTTTTTCTACGTTAAAAGTTAAAAACGAAAAGAATCAAGATATTTAGGATAAATAAATAGAAATTAAGGCTCGATAGAAGGTTGAGAAGGATAGAAGAGAAACAGGGAGCTTTTGGGTAGCTAGATCAGGAGTCATATTACACATAGAAGGCGAAGAAGCAACCTCTACTAGGGTCTGTTAAGGCCAAGACATCCACTGCTTCTGACAGTGCACACACAGGAGTGTTTCCACTTGGCTTCTTACCTTGATTCCACTGAGCATCTCATTCATGAGCTTTAAACGTTGGTCTTTATTTTTCATATTTTTGACCTGTCAGGAAAAAGCAAAACAAAAACAAAACATACTTCCATGGGAGAGGGTTCAAGTTTTTTGCAGATGCTAAGCCTTGGTGGGTACTTGTGGCTCTCAGTCAGAACTTGAGGTGTCCTGTGATGGCATTTGTTTCTTAACAACTCCTCCCTTTGTCTACTCTGCTTAAACCAACCTCATCTTCTTCTTATCCCTGGAGATGTCAAGCTTGTTTCTGCTCTTTAGTCTTTCGCTAACTATACTCTCTTCTTAGGTTGTTTTTTCCTTGCAGTTCCCAAGACTAACACCTTCACAGTCATAATGTGTCATTCAGAGCTTAATTTAAATGCTCTCTTCACAGAGGAAGACTGCCAATAAAACACAACCATCTACTCATTCGCATTTTATACTCAGGTCCATCTATAGTATTTCTCATGGTATGGTATTTTTCTTCTTTGCTTATTGCCTGCTTCTCCACCCCTAAGAACATAAGACCCATGAATACAGGAGCTTTGTCTAATTTGTTGTTGTGTTCTCAGAAAAAGTAAGATGTGCAATAAATATTTTAAAAACAATTATTTGTAAATAAATAAGGGCAAAGCAAGTCTAGATATCACATACTGTTAAGCGCACCCAAACTATGAATCCTGGCTGTGCCAAGGGCTGTCTGTATAGAGTCCTATCACTGGCAGTAGCAGAGTGATTGCTAGGACTGAGTCAGAGATTTGGATCACTCACCAGCTCTGTATGGCTGGTTAGTAGCGCTATGATGGAGAGTCAAAATCAAATAAATAACTATTTTGAGGGCATCTCATCACAGCCAGTGGAAGAATATGTACCAGGTTTCTAGAGCAGCCCTTTCCTCTTCAACTAGGCTCTTCCCTTTAACATGAATGAAGATAAGAGCATGTGAGTCCTAAGAGTGGTCAAAAGCTGAAAAAGGGAAATGGAGAAAGCCAGGTATCTTTGGGATGACCAAAAGCCTTCTATCAGTTTTCCTTGCCAAACTTCCTAAGAATTAGTAGAGCAAGCATTTTAGATGCTTACAAAAGCATAGATTTCAAGGATGTTTCTTTACCTGAATATTTCTGTTCATGGTAGCCAGTATTCCATTAACTGGGACTAGGAGAATCATCACTCCAACACCTGCCAAGACAGAAGGTCCCAACTCTCTCCACAGAAAGAAGATAGCCAAGAAAATCTGCAAAACACTTGACCACACCAAGTGTATGTAATTGGTCACATCCATGAGCTTTTGGGCGTCTACAGACATCAGATTCACTGTTTCTCCGATGGTGTACTGTTTCCTAGCCAAGTTGGATAGGGTCAGTGCCTAAAGATAAAGAGAGATTTAGACCCATTAGGCCAAGGATACTGAGGAGTAGATGGAGGAACTCTGGAAGTGAGAATACAGAGGAAGGATAAGCTTCATTTGGACATAAGTTTTCCAAAAAACAAAACAAAACAAAAAACCCTGTGACTTCTTGCTTCCAAACATTACACACAGTGTTTTCTCATCATCGACAACTCTTTTGGCCCATTTACACCCATCCACATATTCCTCCCCCTGCAACTCTCATTTATCTTTTAGTTCTTAAATGTAACTTCTGAGAAAACTATTCTCACTTATAATTTTGAAATAAATAATTCATCCTGTGTACATTTATAATATTTTATGCTTACCCCTTAATCACAATGAACAATAATTTATTTTCCTATTTTCTACTAGATTTATACTTGGTGAGGACCAGGGTTACATTTGTCCAACTTATTACCTCTTTCTGCCTCTGTATCACTACATCTGGCAATGCTCATGCTAGGGGGATTTTCTTGGTGATACTTGACACATTCTGCTTACCTTCTTATATACAGAAGCCATGATGGTTGTCCGTACACTCATTCCCAGAATGAAACACAATTGAAAATAATACTGAAGGCAGAAAGTTTGAATGAGAGTCACAGCAAACAAGAGGATTGCACAAAGATATCCAACCCATGGATATGTGTCTTTGTCACTTACAAAGGTGATGAGAAATCTGTCAAAGCAAAACCAAGTAAGTGATGCTCAAAAGGCCTCCAAGATTTTAATTTTCTCATATAGCTGACTACCCTACTTTTACTGATAACAAATAGTACGGAACTTCCCAATGTCTTTGGGAGACTTGTGCTCTGGTCTTGTTAGGGTTCTTGGCAGGATTCTTTCTTTCACTTGGGGCAGCAAGAGATTACATTACTGAGCGACAGGCCTAGAAATCCCACAGCTCAGAAGGCTGAAGCAGGGGGGTGGGGGGGTTGCAAGTGTAGTTGTGGAGATGGGAGGGCAGGGATGGTAAGGGAAAAACAAAGGAGGAAGAAACAATGCTTCATAAGAAATGTACTCATTATCTTGCTCATGTAGTTGTAACCCCTCTGTACAGTATTTTCACAATAAAAAACTTATTAATAATAAAAAAGAAGGCTGAGGAAGGAAGATGAAGAATTTGAGGCTAACCTGGGTTATGAAATGAGATTCTATCTCAAAATGCAAACAAAAGAATGAATAATGAAAGAAATGTTCTATGTAGCTACCATTGTAATGCTTTGGCCTTGTCTTGTCCATCCCTTAATAGAAGCAGCTGTGTGACACAAGTTGATTCATTTCTAGCCAATTAGGACATGTATCTAAGAATCATAAATTCAAGAGGCTTGCATGGTGGTACTTCCTTCCAGATAGAGGAAGGTTGCAAAGTCTTGTCATGATGAACCTAAACCTCTGTGGAGGGCTTCTGGGTATAGAGAGAGGCTCTTATCATAGAAGTTCTGTTTAACCAGAAAGGTTTAATGAGCATCTGGCTTCTATTAGAGGAGGGACACAGAAAAGAAAGAGGTTAAAGTATGTATCATCTCAGATCTCAAACACGGTCTCATACTCCTCATGAAGACAATACTGTAAGGTAGAAGAAAATTATAAGCATTTTTCAAAAGTGGGAATTTATGAAAACTCTTGCCTGTCTCCACAAGGGGCAAAAAGGAAGGTGGCAGAGGAGGCACTCAGGGACAACCATGACTGGGAACTCACTTTAGTAGCTGAGGATTCAGAAACAAGAGGATGTCATGCACTAGTTTTGCTATGAATGATTTCAGGATCACAATGTAGAAAGTTTTGAAGATGGCCTTTATAAGCCAGGACTTGGGAAAGTCTTTTGTGGCTTCAGACTTCTTTTTTTTCTTTTTAGATTCTTCCTGGGTACAGAAAAACAACAACAACAGTGTTCACAGAGTTGCGCAGAATAAAATTTTGTTCATACCCTGAACAGCTCTAGAGTTCCAGAAGGGCCTGGAGGCCTGTTGCCTTCTAGTATAGATTTTCATTTTCTCTATACCTCCTTGTTGCTGTCTCTCTCCATTGTAATTGATGCCATAATCTGTTTTGTATCAGAAAATAGTCAACTATGCTGGTGAGAATATCACATAAACCCAGGCATGGTGGTACACACTTGTGATACTCAGCACGTGGAAGACTTCGGCAGAAGGACTGTATGTTTGAGATCAGCCTTTTTTATATGGCAAGTTCATGAACTGCCTTGGTAAGATTACATCAAATAAACCAATGGTTAGGGATATTTTTCAGTGGTAGAACACTTGCCTAATACAAGCAAAGCTCTGAGCTGGATGCCTGCTATCTCTCTCTCACACACACACACACAAAGTATATGATATGCATGCACACACACAAAGTATATGATATTCATGCACACACACAAAGTATATGATATTCATGCACACACACACACACAAAGTATATGACATCAAAACAGAGAACAGTCTCTGAGGGAAAAGCTGAGAGTAAAAGATGTAAATGGAAAAAGTACATTTTAAATGCCCAAAGCTTTTTTGTTTTTTCCATTTTCATAGTCATTGGAGGAGTTATAAGTTGAATTGTGTCCCCACTAAACATAAGTTGAGTTGGGTGCTAGTGACTCATGTTTATAACCCTAGCTACTCAGGTGGCTGAGATCTGTGGATAATGGTTCAGAGCCAGCACGGGCAGGAAAGTCCATGTGGCTCTCATCTCCAGTTAACCATCAGAAAACTGGAAGTTTTCTGGAGCTGTGGTTTAAAGTGGTAAAGTACTGCCTTGAGCTAAAGAGCTCAGGGACAGCACTCTGCTCCTCAGCTCAAGCCCTTGACCACTACCACCAACCACAAAAAAGTTGAAGTTCTAACCTTTAGTATCTTGGAATGTGCCCTAGGGAAAATAAGTCAAGGTCTTTAGGGTAGTCTGTACTCCAAATGACCAGTGTTCTCATAGAAGAGAAACAAATGGGGAGAAGGTGGCCATGTGTCCTAGGCCACTAATACATGAACCATAAAAATTCATATGCCAGCTTCTTTTTCCTATATTCTGGCATCCTCATGCCCCCAATTTCAGCTTTTAATCCTCAGCTTTCAAGTTTTTCTACTACTGACATCCTCTTGTAACTTTTCTCAGTGATCAGTCTTTCTTGCCTAGACAACTGCTAGCCTTCCCACAACTGTCCCTCTTGCCAACAATCCACTCTCTAGGTGCAACTCAAGTCATCTTTCAAAAATATAAATCAGTTCACACTACCTTCTTCTTGAAGCCTGACATTTCATTAGACTTCAAATAAAATCCAGTCACCTTACTATGGCCTCCAAGGATTCACATAGCATAGTCATTGTCCAACTCTCTGAGCTCATCTCATCCCACACTCAACCTCTCTCCCCATACTCCAGAGATCTCCTTCCAGTCATCTGAACATGCCCTACATGCCCTCTTTCAGCCTCATATTCCTGCTCTCTCTGATTGGAACAGATCTCCCTCTGATTGTTCGTGAATGGATTGTTCTTATGATTTGGGTCTCATTCTACCACCATTTATTTTTGGTTGGTATTAGAACTTGAACTCAGGGCCTGGGCATTGTCCCTGAGTTTTTACACTCAAGGCTAGTGCTCTATCACTTTAAGCCACTGCTCTGCTTTCAGTTTTCTGGTGGTTAATTGGAGATAAGACTCTCCTTGGATCTCAGCCTCCAGAGTAGCGAGGATTACACATGTGAGCCACGGGTACTAGCCATACCACTATTTTTTAAAAAATGAATCCTTACCAGTTACTCTGCCTTAAGCAGCACATTATTCTTTTTATTTTTTTTTGCCAGTCCTGGGGCCTGAACTCAGGGCCTGGGGTCTGTCCCTAAGTTTCTATGTGCTCAAAGCTAAAGCTCTATCACTTGAGCCACAGTGCCACTTCTGGTTTTTCCTGTTAATGTGGTACTGAGAAATCGAATCCAGGGTTTCATGCATGCTAGGCAAGCACCCTACCACAAAGCCACATTCCCAGCCTGCAACATTTCACTTTAAAGTCAATAAAATCTCTTGTCTTCTTTTTTCTCTTGAGCCTAAGCAACCCTCCTACCTCAGCCTCCTGAGCAAATGGTACAACAGAAGTGTACCACAGTGCCTTTCTTGTTTAATTTCTTTTTGTTTTTTTGTTTTTTTTGGTCACGGGGCCCGAACTCTGGGCCTGGGTACTGTCCCTGAGCTCTTCAGCTCAAGACTAGCGCTCTACCACTTGAGCCACAGCGCCACTCCCGGCTTTTTCTGCTTATGTGGTGCTGAGGAATTGAACTCAGGGCCTCATGCATGCGAGGCAAGCACTCTACCACTGAGCCACCTTCCCAGCCCTCTTGTTTAATTTCTTAAACAAAGCATTTATTACTCTCAACATATGTATTAGATTAGTTTATTTTCTAGCTGTCTATAGATGGGCACTTACTTGACCAGGATTCTTCCTTATATCTACTTCCCAAAACAGTTTCAGACACACAGCTATGGTCAATAAATATTTTGCTAATGCTAACTTGCATCAAGATACAAACTCTAGTAATCCTGAAGTATTACTAAAATAATTATTGTTATTATTATTTTGCCAATCCTGGGGCTTAAACTATGGTCCTGGGCACTGTCCCTGAGCTTTTTCTCAAGGCTAGTGTTCACCCGCTTAAGCCAAAGTGCCACTTCCAGGTTTTCTAAGTATTTTATTGGAGATAAGGAGTTTCACAGACTTTTCCTGCTGGCTTTGAATTGTGATCCTCAGATTTCAGCCTCCTGAGTAGTTAGGATTATAGGTGTGAGCCACTAGAACCTGGCTTATTACTAAAATTATTTTATAATGGGAAATTTAAAATATACTCAAAAAGAGTATATTGTACACTCATGTATCCAACACTAAGGTATTACTAGTATCACAAATACAACTAATACTATAAAATGCATTGAACAGTATAAATGTATAACAGTAAAAATGTAAGATCAGAATCACTATGACATTGTTTCTTTCCTGAGACATAGAGCACACTCATATAAACATTTGTGGGAAAGTTACCAGGACAAGGACATCTTGACTTTGACTCTGGTTTTTGTCTAAGCCAGGTAGAGTGGCTCCAGATTTCCGCCTGGAATTCTTCTGCTGCCGTCTTTGGAAGGCTCGCTTGGCCTTCTGTAGGTCTCTTGTCATGAATACTTCAAATTTGCTCACTACTGACTTGGTTTTAATATCTTCATCAACATCCCAAATATCTTCAAGTGTCAAAGGTTGCTTGTAACCTTTTAGAACCATGCTGGAATAAGAATGACCCACATAGTAAGACACTGTGGTCTGCATCAAAGGCTTTCTCTTTGCTGCCTCTATCAAAACCTGCCTTCCAGATCTGGGATAGAAGGACCTCTTCTGGACCTTTGAACTTGACAGAGGGATGGGAAGTACATGGGGATAATAAAATGTGTTAGAAGACAATAAGAAAAGGGAAGGAGGGCTATCCCTGTGGAATAATACCTGCAGCCTGTCTATACTCTTGCCTTTCCCAGAGTCTCAATGATGTCTTTAGAAAATGGATTAGGCCCGATAGCTGTTTCCAGCACTCCAATTTGGAGTTTGAGAACATGGATAGAAAATAAATTACATTTTTATTTATGTAGCTTCTAACTGAAATCTATCATTTCCTTCTAATAAGAGCTCAGTATGATATCTTTGTCACCAGGAGAAGTTTTCACGGCAAATTTATGCTCATCACTACTTTAAAATTTTGGTCCTTCCAGGAAGTAGCACTGTGGCTCAAAGTGGCAGAGCACTAGTTTCAAGTGAAAAAGCTTAAGGACAGTGTCCAGGCCCTGAGTTCAAGCCCCATGACTGACAAAAAAATTATGGTCCTTATTCAACCTATCACTTACTTACCTTGCTACTTACTACATTAATTTAAGAGTTCATGTATTATTATATCACAAATTCATTTTTAAATATTTTGGTAACCATATTTCAATGTATCTTATTTCCCTGATAGTCTTCATATCTTTTTTTCTTTTTCTTTTTTTTTATTGTGAGAATACCATACAGAGGAGTTACAATTTCATGGGCAAGATAACGAGTACATTTCTTATCAAGCATTGTTGCCTCCTCTTTGTTTCCCCTTCCCTTCCCTTCCCATACTCTCCCCACCTCCCCCCACCTGATCCTCCACCCCCACCAAAGTTGTAAAGTTCATTTTTCGACATAACGACTTGTACATATCTTTTACATATTTAAAACATCATCTGAGAAGGAGCTCATGGTTTCATTAGCTTGCCAAAGGGGTCCATAGGTACAAAGGCCAAGAATACATATTGTAGACTCAGACCAGCTTGGGTTCACCAAGTATGTACCACACTGACTACCTCTATATTTCCCCTTTCTTCTCCTACTGCCTCTTTCCTTTTCTCCTGTGGAGTTCCCAGGCTCCCAAGAGCAATTATCTTCCATCCATTATGATCCTAATCTCGCCAATAAAGGAGCTAAATTAAACTGACTTACAGAATTGTATTTTAAAATTAACTTTTCCTTCACTTTCAGACTAGTGAGGAAGTAGAAATATGGAAAAAACCCATACTCCAGGAGTTTCCTACCTGTCATACCAACTAAAGGTAATGCTACTCAGAAATGAAGCCGTGGATGAAGGATTCTGAAAGATACAAAACATTAAAAAGTAAATCAGTTGGAAACAGGAACTCTATGGGACTCTAAAACTTGAAACTGATTTTTCTAGATAACTATGCGGTGTTGAAAATTTGGTATGATGCTAGAGTCAGTTGATCAATATAAGTTTATCTGAAGACCATAATCGAATAGAATAATACTCAGACTTTCTAGATTGGATGTACACATTAGCCACCTGTGCTGAAGATTTAAGGGTAAATTCATGTTCAGTATAATATGCTTGTCATTATTTCTTTGTATATAAAATATTCGGCAATACAGGTTGAATATCCCTTATCTGAAATGCTTAGTATCTCAGGAATTTCAGACTTTGAAAGTTTTCTTTTTTTTTTTTTGCAATATGCATAGACTTTTTGAAAGTTTCAGATTTGAAGAATTTTGGATTTCAGACTTTCAGATTAGGGATGCTCAAGCTGTATGTATATTATTTGGGGAACAGAGGACTTCCATAACACTTAGATATCTCAAAGTTACATTTGTTAAGGATGTAGTAGTATATGAAATGGGCATATTTAGTCTCACATGTGATGAATCACTTGGTTCTGAAAGGGCCGAAAGGATCAGGATCAGGATCTGGAATCCATAGGAGACGAAGTATAGGCAGGAATAGACCATATTAGACTTGCTGTCCTACAGGAGGAGGAGGTCGGAAAAAAATGTATCAGTGCTTGTGATTAGAGACTGTTATCAACCCCCTCTCCTCTGATACAATGTATCAGTGCTTGTGATTAGAGACTGTTATCAACCCCCTCTCCTCTGATACAATTCTATCCTGGAACTCAAATTACTTGATGCCCTGTGCTTTGACTTAGAAGTTGCCCAGAAGTACCTCCTCTCTTTCCTGCTTACCTGTATGAGTGCCCGGAGCATTGTCTGAAATTGGAAAGTACCACAAAGTATTGAGAGAATCCAGAAAAGGGACAAGTACCAAGAATTCTTCTGTATACACCACAGCCTACTGTGTTGGACCAGCAAAACCAGGATCTAGAAAGAAATCGACATGAAATTCTGAAGGACAGTGTCACTACTAACCAAGGAAAGGAAGGGAGGAAGGTGTCTGATGAAGTGAGGAGAGAGGAGCTCTGAAGGAGATTGTTGATATACATGAATGTCAAATTGTACATTTCCTCACTGATGCTATCTAACTCACTTCTTCCAGTGCTTCATCTCTATTCACCACCTTTGGTGGGAAGTTAGCCAAGAAACAAAAGGGTCAATGTGCATTTTAGAAGAGTTACTTTGGAGCCGGGCGCTAGTGGCTCACGCCTGTAATCCTAGCTACTCAGGAGGCTGAGATCTGAGGATCGCGGTTCAAAGCCAGCCCGGGCAGGAGAGACCTGAGACTCCTATCTCCAATAAACCACCAGAAAATCGGAAGTGGTGCTGTAGCTCAAGTGGTAGCGTGCTCTCCTTGAGCTGAAGAGCTGAGGGACAGCACCCAGGCCCAGAGTTCAAGCCCCACGGCCGATCAAAAAAAAAAAAAAAAAAAGAAAGAAAGAATGATTACACCTATCCTCCCTCGACTTCTTTTATATCATCACCCTTATATCTCATCTATGATCCTAAAAGCAGAGAAGGCTTTAAAAATTAGATGAAATCTAAGGTTTCATCCCATTACAACATTACAATCAAACTTTGCTCCCCTCTAAATCCTTGAGAAATATAGATAGGATTGGATGTAATTTTACCATAGAAGCATACACTTCAGCTAGACGTCTATAGGTAGACAGAAGATAAACATGGTGAAAGCGGTCATAGGCCTTACCCATGTGCACAGGTAGAGGATTGGATTTGTATATTTAACAGGAGGGATAGTGGCTTGTCCAGAGTCTTCTGTGAATACAAAGGCCAGCTCTATCACTGCTAGTATAAACAGAGACCCGACGAGTACCTGACAAGGAAAAAAGATGGTTGTTAAGCTCATGTCATTCTTTATAAGGCTCTGGTTTCCAGAAATGGATGGGGAAAATAGTATATAGAGATTCAAACCACACAATGAATACTTTGAAGTGAACAGACATAGAGTTCAAGTAAGAATTTAGTTCAAAATACGTCTTGATGAATATTTTTAAGAAATGCTAAGTGTGAGGGCTAGACTTGGTGACTCCATTCTAAGGACAGAAAATGGTGCAAATGATAGTGTTTGACTTTCAAGATTAGGTCATAAAAAGCAATGTAGTTTCTTTCTTTTTGTTTTCTCTGTCATATCACTCACTCTGGGGAAATCTTCAAGCACCTGCCATGAAGGCATTCAAATTGCTCTAGGGAGAGGGTCTCTTGAGTAGGAAGCAAGACCGCTTGCCAATAGACACATGGGATTAGCCAACAAGCCAAGTCTCTAGGCCAGAACCTCATAAGAAACCCTGAAACAGAACCTAGGTAAGTAGCTCCCAAATAAAAAATATTTATTCTTTAAGCTGGGGGACTTATTGCACAGTTACAGAAAGTTAATGGAAAGCAGAATCCCCTTAGCCTAACTGGGATGATAACCTTTCATTTTTTTCAATATTAACTTTTGAAGTACTATCACAAACAATTATGACTATTTAACCCTGGGATGACTTTAAGCCAAAAGAAACTGTCCTATGAATCCAGGTGCTAGTGGCTCATACCTGTAATCCTAGCTACTCAGGAGGCTGAGATCTGAGGATTATGGTTCAAAGCCAGTGCAGGCAGGAAAGTCCATGAGACTCTTTATCTCCATTAACCACCAGAAAACCAAAAGTAGTGCTGTGACACAAAGTGGTAGAGCATTAGCCTTGAGTGAGTGAAAAAAAATCTCACAGTGCCCAGGCACTGAGTTCAAGGCCTACGACTCTCCCT